CTAGAATAGAAAAGAAAATGAAGATCGTATCTTAAAAAACGTGATTGTAATACATCAAAGAAGGGAACAAAATTTGTAACATGCGTTTCAAGTTTATCAGATATTCTCAGGCGCTTGTTCTCGCCTCATTAACTACAGATCAGCGAACATAATATGAAGGGAGAATAAAATCGGAGAGAACGATGTTCGGATGTAGGCGACGTCGGACGAGAGAAGAGAGTGGATGAACTCTATTGTAAAATCGATAAGTATCTTACGTGACACACACACACACACACGCATACGTAGAGGAAAACTACAATCGTCGTGACATTTACGTTTTTTTTCTCTCTCTTTTTGTTTGCTTTTTACTGAGCAGAAAAAAAACCTACACTGGAAAATTAAGTTCCCAGTGATATTTAATAAACTCTCCTTGTCCGAGGGCAAACAAACTTACGTAAGCAAGCGCATACTCATTTGCAAGATAATAGCTTGAGAAATTACTCAAATTAACTCTGAACCGGGTGGCGTGCAGTACAATTCTTATTTTGTGTGGCTGGATTTAAATACGTCGCGAAAACACGGAAAAGTAATATTTAGACAATGAGACACTCAAACTAATAACGCAATTTTTTTACGAGTTTTGCGAAAAAAAGAGGGGAAAAAAAAATTTTAACTACTCAATCTCAACTTGAACTTAAAAATTAACACACATATAATCTTGAAAAAATTTAAATAAATTAATATTTTTTAGTATTAAATTTTTCCAAATTAAAAAAAAAAGCTCTAAACTTGAAATAAAAATGAATTAATATTGTCGACCCCCTATTTTTAGGAATTCGATACTTTTACAATACTTTTGATATAATTCCCTAATTTCCCTGACTCGTGGCAACCGTGATAAATTAAAAACGAAAATAAAAAGGAAAAAAAATTGTTGCAAAAAGGAATTGACACTGAAAATGAATAATGAATGAACATTGAAACCAAAGTGAGGAGTTGAAAGTGGAAAAGTGGGAAAAAAAAGAGATAGACGATAATAATAATGAGATCAGTAGGAGCCGAACTACACATTGAAAACTACTCTAGCGCATTTTCCTAAAGCAGCATTTGCTCTTCAATAATAAATGGATGGGAAAAGCCAGTTATATCGGTGTATGACGTGTACGTGGATCGTGAAAGGGAGGCGATTCACTATACATCGTATATAGTGAAAGTCAATTTAAAATTAATAACGTAATTACTGGATACTGCAAGGCCATAATCTACTGTCCGACAAATTGGTCGATATTCTCTCTATCTCTATCTTTCTCTAAAGCGTTACTCTCGGTGAATGTACTCTCAACAGTTACTGTTGCTTAGAGAGAACAACAAACTAGTAGTAGAGACCGCGACGCGGCTGATACTCCAACAGTCTAATGGCACCACTCAAGATGCAATATTGCTACATGAATATTATATAGCATCTCCTGGACCATTCCACGTCTTTACAACCTAAACCCTCCTCCTCCTCCTTCCCCCCCCCTTCGCCCTTCCTAGTCTTCTTACTCTACATCAAGCACTATGCTTACCAACTTACAGCTGCAGATGGATATTTGCGAGAATACACTATATACGCGAAACGCTCCACTTACGAGAGCGAGCTATGATTATTTCAAGGTGCACTCTCAAAAATTGGCTGTCTTTCACTCTCAACCTACTCTCGACCCCTTTAAACACTATATAGTACATCTCTCCACGCCATCATTTTTATCCTTCAATGGTCAAAATTTCAAACAATTGTTTCAATTTTACAATTTTTCTATTATTATTTTTTAAAATGTTTTTATATTTTTTTTTATTAATAAAAATTTCGAATTTAATAATTATTATTTTAATTAATTAACGTTTTATGTAAGAGAAACTAATAGAATGTTGGAAGGTAATAGGAAAAAGAGAACGAAAAGATTTGGACAAATGGTGTTTTAAAAATTTTAATTTTAACTCTCTTTTAACCATTAGATTTCAAAACGTTGTAATTAGATTTTTATTAAAACACTATTTGTCCAAATGTTATCGTTTTCTTTTATTATAACCTTCTAAAATTATTATTTTATATTTTTTTCAAATAGTTTTCTATCAAAAGTCTTATAATTTTATTTGTAATTAGAATTAAATATAATTAAATAAATTAATTGACGTAAATTGGTAAAATACAACTGTTTTTATATTTTATTCAATATGTCTGACTAAAAGCAACTTTTACTACTTATTAAAATACAAAAAAAAATGTATAGGAAATTGTACAAAATATATATTAATTTGTATTACTGACAAAAAAAATTGTTTCAATTTTACAATTTTTCCATTATTATTTTTAAAAATGTTTTTATATATTTTTTTATTAATAAAAATTTCGAATTTAATAATTATTATTTTAATTAATTAACGTTTTATGTAAGAGAAGCTAATAGAATGTTGGAAGGTAATAGGAAAAAGAGAACGAAAACATTTGGACAAATGGTGTTTTAAAAATTTTAATTTTAACTCTCTTTTAACCATTAGATTTCAAAACGTTGTAATTAGATTTTTATTAAAACACTATTTGTCCAAATGTTATCGTTTTTTATTATAACTTTCTAAAATTATTATTTTATATTTTTTTCAAATAGTTTTCTATCAAAAGTCTTATAATTTTATTTGTAATTAGAATTAAATATAATTAAATAAATTAATTGACGTAAATTGGTAAAATACAATTATTTTTATATTTTATTCAATATGTCTGACTAAATCCAACTTTTACTACTGATTAAACTACAAAAAAATGGATAGGAAATTGTACAAATTAATTTGTATTACTGACAAAATTACAAACGTTTAGAATGTCTGACTAAATACTGGCTTGTACTACTGATAAAATTACAAAAAAAAAATTTAGGGAATATTTACTACTAATTTTCTAATTTAGTCATTATATTTGACTAAAATCAAAGTGTACTACTGATAAAGTGACAAAAAATTAAAAGGCCTGACTAAATATTTAGTTGTACTACTAATAGAGTTACGAAAGCTAATTTATTATATTTGGCTCAATATTTATTTTGTACTACTAAAAAAAATAACGAAAGTGTATAAAGTCGCACTGAATATTGACTTGAACTACTGACGAAATTGCAAACATTTAAAAAGTCCGACTAAATATTTACTTTTACTACTGACAAAATTAGAAAAGCTATTTTATTATATCCAAACAAATTTTGACTTGTACTACTCATCAAATAATAATAATATGAAATGTCTGACTGAATATTTACTTGTACTACTAATAAATGTACAAATGCTATAATTCATTATGCCTGGCTAAATATTTACTTGTACTTCTAATTACATTGTAAACATTTAGAAAGTCTGACTAAATATTTTTATATTTACTACTGATTTTCTCATTTGTTTCTTATGTATGACTAAAACTAACTTATACTACTGATAATGTTATAATAATTTAGCAAGACTAATTAAATATTGACTGACGAAATTGCAAATATTTAGAAAGTCCGACTAAATATTTACTTATACTACTGAGAAAATATAAAAAAACAAGTCTGACTAAATTTTTACATGTTCTACTAAAAAATATTAAAAAAATGTTAAATGTTAAAACAAATATTGAATTGAACTTCTAGTAAAAATATAGAAATATAAAATGTCTGACTGAATATTTACTTGTACTACTGACAAAATTTCAATCGTTTACTACTAATATAACTGCAATGGCTAATTTATTATGTCTAGCTAAATATTGACTTATACTACTAAAAAGAAATTACAAAAAAATCACAAAATCTGACTAAATATTTACTTATTCTACTGAAAAATATCCAAAAATTAAAAAAAAAGTTTTAACTGATTGTGAATATTAACTTTTACTACTGATATTCTACTTTGGTCATTATGTCTGACCAAAGTAAACTTGTACTACTGCAAAAATTACAAAAATCTAAAAAGTATGATCTAATATTTACTTGTACTACTGATAAAATAAGAAAAATCTAAAAAAGTTTACCTACTATTTACTTTTATTACTGATACATTAGATGGGACTTTGATTTAGCAGATTTTTAACGAAATAAATAAATTTTACCACTAAAAAATAAAAAATTCGGTCAATTACAAAATTTGACTAATGGTAAACGTTTAAAATACAAAACACAAGTTAAAAAATCACTGAGTTTCTCATTAATTATTCATGTAATTGTAAATTGTGGAAAATGTCAACCAGACATGTAATTGTAATTTAATCTAGTTTAGCGGATAATAGACTTTGCCTATTTAATCGAACGCAGTTAATTGAATATAAATTGAAAAATAAATTCTCAAATTTTGAAAATACCAAAAATTCTATTTATAATAATAATTAATCATAAATTTAATTTAAAAAAAGAAAAACACTGTAAAAATATTTTTACTCATTCAATATGTTCATTTTTTGCCAAAATTTTTGTTTATTTATTTTTTATTTCGATATGAAATTTTTGCTTTTTGTTTATCTTTTTATATATATTTACAAAACGGAAATTTATTTTGAACGAGGGAAAAATAACAATATCTTTTTTTATCTGAAAATATCAATTTTAATCGATCCAGACTCCCACATCATGGTCGATAAATCGCACACAAGGTTTTCTCTGCACAGTAAAATTGCATTCGCAACACACGGCCTCTCTCTCTCTCTCTTCGATTCCATCGTCCTCCTTCTCCTCATACAACATTCATATTTATTTATGGATATGTGCACACATAACCTATAGATTTTTTCGATGTTAACGCGGCCAACGTTATATTTCCGTCGCCGATACGTTGCGATTCACGTGGGCAAAGGGGGGAAGAAAAAACTTTACGGGTCAAAAGAAAAAAAAAATTGGAGAGGAGGGAGTAAAGAAGAATTTCCGGATTTTGTTTTTCATTGTCGAGAAATAGCAATATCGAGATTTAAATGATTAAAAAATTTATAGTTCATTTTTTTTGCATTTATTTTTCAGGTTTGCCCTCACCGAGCTGTAGACATGTGAAGTACAATAATCTCGATGACGTCAAGTCCGAGGATCTAGGATTAACGCAACTTGATTTTACTCCAATTGTCGTTACAAAAATGAGGTGAGTCGATTGTGATAATAAATTTAATTTCAAAAATTAGACAATTATCAATTTTTGTATTTTTTAATATTTTACATAATAAATTATGTGTGAAAAGAGAATTTCCAACAACAGACATAAAATATTCCACTAAACTTAAAAAGGCAAAATTGAAATAAATTTTAATTTCATCAAAATGTCATTTAATAGCCATCAAGTTCAACTCGACGACCAATTATCTAACCAAAATTTTATTTCACCCATAACTTTAATGTCTCATAATTTTTATTTTGAGACAAATCAAGGATAACGAGTGAGAATAATGAAAAAACAACATTTGGTTGAACACACTAATTAGAGAAATTCTAATTATGACTAATGAGAAACCTACTCGTCGTTTAATATTTTGTAAATTGAAAAAAAAAATTAAAAACGATAATTATATCTAATTAACATTAGAGCCAATTAAAAGCAGTACAAATTAAGAAAAATTGTCAAAAAATAAATATTTATCAATTTACAACAATAAAAAAAAAATAGAGTCCAGAAATTGTTAAAAATCCAAAAGGTTTTTATTTGTTTTCAATATAAATACAAATAGGTATATTCTTCTACTGTCAAAACCTGTGTCCTGATTTAGTAAATGTGGCTAAAGTTGTTAAGCAATCAAACCGGAAATTGTTTGTCAAATCGAATTTGCACCGCAAACTAAAGCAATGTCCAATATCAAGCAATTACATTCAAAACAGGATAAACGAAATTTCTACGTTTTTCGAATTAATTTCAAGTTACATATATAAAATTGAAATATCGATGAATCGTGAGTGAAAAAAAATATGTTCTATAAATAAATATTTTTTTTTATAAATTTCGTTTAAAAATTTCAATGAGTGAAATTTAAAAAAAAAAGGTGAAAACTATTAATTACAAAAATATATTTACTATATTGGGGAATAATTAATTTTCTTTAAAATTTAAATATGTTTGTTGATGACATTAATTTCAAGAGTTTGAGACAGTATTTTACAAAGATCGGAATCTCTCTTTTGAGCTTAACTCAAAACTTTCTGGCCATGCGCTTGCGGTAGATAAACACGAATACTTCATAAGCTCATAATCTAGAAACAAAACGTCAGCTGGGAAACAAAGGAGTGTTCTCCAGGTTCTTCTTTTAACCCAAGCTCGATTCATTTCGTTGGTAACAAACGTCCGAGAGACTTTGTAAGTAAGTTCTTAACCGACTCGCTAAAGCGTATCTACGTTTATTAAAAGTCAGTTTTTTTTTATTAACATCAACTCAACGACGATTTAAAAAATATATCTTTCAAATATTTTCTTTTTTCAAAATTTTTATATTTCCCTATCGATTTTTCCAAATTTCATATTCCTGATTTTGAATTTTCTAAATAATATGCTATTACAAATATTATATGAAATTAAAATGTTGTCTGACTTAAAGTGACTTTTACGACTGATACTGAACTTACAGCGACTGTAATTCATTATGTCTGACTATTATCCACTTTTACTACTAATACTAGAGTTACAAAAACTTATTTTTACTACCAACAGAAAAAATTGTATAATTTAAACTGCTACATCAAAATGAAACTGACTTAATACTACTCATAATAAACTAACAATGACTATAATAATTTATGTCTGACTTAAACTGACTTTTACTACTAATAATAAACTTACAACGACTGTCATTACTTATGTCTGACTATAATCTACTTTTACTACTAATATCAAAATTACAAAAACTCATTTCTATTACTAATAGCAAAAATAATTTGAACAGTTATGTCTGACTGAAACTGACTTTGGCTACTAAGAATAAACATTCAACGACTGTAATTAATTATGTCTGACTATAACCTACTTTTACTACTATTATTAAAGTTACAAAAACTTATTTTTACTGCTAATAGCAAAAATACTTTAAACAGTTTTGTCTGACTGATACTGACTTTAACTACTAATAATACACTTACAACAACTGTCATTAATTATGTCTGACTATAATCTCCTTTTACTACTGATATCAAAATTATAAAATCTCATTTTTATTAGTAAAATCAAGAATTAAATAATTTAAACAGTTATGTCTGACTAAAATTGAGTTTTACTACTGATACCAAAGGTAAATGAATTCTAAAGTTATGTCTGACAAAAATGGACTTTTACTACTGACACTAAAATGGATTACATTTCATATTATGGTTCCCTACCAATTTTTCTGTACAAAATAATTAGAAAAATTGAATAAAGAAAATTTAAAAAAAAAATAGTAAGAAAAATGTTTATTAGGAATAAACAATTAAGAAAACTAAATTAGAAAAAACGTTGGACAATGTTTATATTATACTTACTAATTACTACTACTGAAAATAACAATTTAAAACTTTGAAAATTAAAAAAAAAAACCTACAAATAAAACATAAAATTTTAATTATTTGTAACATTGTCACTGGAGACTATTTTAACAAAGATTGTAACATAATTCACTTGAGATTACTTCCCCCTCCCCATTAAAAAAAAAAAAAAAGAAAAGTAATTTTATTCGCATTATAATCACACCCTATAAAATAAATGAACGACCACGATAAAAGGAGAAAAAAAAGAAAAAGAAACTAACGAAATTGCTTCTATTCCCTATATCAGCGAAGATCACCCATTGTTATCAAGACATTCTCATAATCCTATGAGCTCACAAAATTGCTAGAGTTAGAAAGACAATTGCGTCGATTGCACTTCTAATCTTCGTCTCGAAAAATCGTCTAAATCTACGGGCTTAAACTTGTGCAAGAGAAGAGAGAGGGGGGGGGGCGGAAGTCTATCCCGTCTTAAGCAAACTCCTCGACTTCTTTTCCCAAGTCGATTCGAAAAGACGTCGAGTCCGAAGGGAGAAGGAGAGGGGGGTGGAAAAAGACGGGGGTAGGTGGGGAGGATAGAAAAAGGGTAGTTCGGATTACAGGCAAAATACGTCGAAACCAAATCCTTTCATCCTTTAATACCACCACCTTGCACCCACCCCTCTCCACCCCTATTTTCAAGCATCTAGATAGCGAGCACATCTTCTCGAATCTAAAGAATACGATAAGTGCACCATTGATAATAATAATAATAATGATAATAATAAGTGTTGTGCTATACTGAAAGCAGTTTAAAGAATAATTTTAGTCGATGGTTCTTTTTTCTCGAATTTCTTTAATATATTTTATAATTAGAATTTTTTTTAGGAGATTGAAATTAACTGTAGTAGTTTTGAGGTTATTGTCTTATTGACACTGTCTTTGACTACTGATCCAAAAATACGTGTTTATCTGTAGACTCACTGCTATTACTATAATTATATGAAATTAAAAAGTTGTCTGACTGAAACTGACTTTTACTACTGATACTAAACTTACAAGAACAATAATTATTTACGGCTGAATATAATCCACTTTTACTACTAATACGTATGTTACAAAAAATTATTTTTACTAGTAATAGCAAAAATTAAATAATTTGAATAGTTATGTCTTACTAAAAATGATTTTACTACTATAATAATAAACATACAACAACTGTAATTAACTATGTCTGACTATAATCCACTGTTACTACTAACATTAATGTTACAAAAACTTATTTTTGCTACCAATAGAAAAAATTATACACGGAAAATATCTTTACATGGAGCAGTGATAATTCTCACTGGAACAGCAATATGTTTTCCTAAAACAGCTAAAGTTTTCGCTATTCTAGAGAAACATATCGCTGTTCCAAATAAACATTTTTTTCCATTTATAACTTAAACTGGTATACAAAAATGAAACTGACATTTACTTATAATAAACTTACAATGACAAAAGGCATTTTAAAGTTATGTCTGACTAAAATTGACTTTTACTACTTAAAGCAGTTTTCACAAGTTTTATGTCTGACTATAACATACTTTAACTACTGATATTAGATTTAAAATAATAAAATTAGTTTTGACTGAAAATCATTTTAACTACTGATTGCAAAGTAAGAAGAATACAAACAGATTGTGTCTGACTTAAATGGAATTTTACTACTCGAATAAGAATTTTCCAGTCTGACTATAACTGACTTTTACTACTTATAGTAGTATAGTAGTAGTACTTATAGTATTATATATCAAAGTCAGAAAAATATGAACATTCAAGTCTGACTATAATGTACATTCATAACTGATACTAAAGTGGCAGTACTTTAAATATGTCTGACTAAAACAAACTTTAACTACTGATATATTAAAAAAAATTCTAAATAGTTCTGATTAAAAATTACTTTAACTTCTGATTACAGTTTTTGTCTGACTAAAACGGACTTCTACTACTTAGATTCAAGTTTCAAGAATTTTCATGTCTGACTAAAACAAACTTTTACTACTGATAGTAAAATTACTATTATTTAATTATGTCTGACTGTAATACACTTTGACTACTGATACACTATTTACAAGAATCGTACTAAATTGGACTTACATACGGGTATAAAAAAATTACAGGACCTTAATAAATAAATAACTAGTATTTGTATTAAATACATATAAATTATTGGCTCGAATAGTTTCCTTATTTTAAAAATAAAAATCTATTTTTCCCAAAGAAATATTTACCTGAATAATAGTCAACCGATTTTATGAATCAAATAAATTTTTTTCCTCACTGTAATTATTTAATAAATACATCCTTAAGGAAGTGCTCATCTTCACTTTCCATTATACACTAAAAAGAAAAAAATCTGTGAAAAATCGTCAATTGGGGAAAAAGCTTTTTGTGTATATATATAATGGTGAAGAAGAAGAGGATGAAATGAAGACACACTCAAAACACCCCCTTGTGTAATTTTTTACGTCATTATTTAAATTGAAAGTATATCCCCGTGTATATGTGTGAGAGAGAGAGAGGGGGGAAGTAAAGGAAAATTCAAAAGTGGAAAGATTGCTCTATTCGTCGTCAGAGTGGGGAAATCCAGGTCGGGAAAAATAAAGTGGTTAGTCG